ACGCGGACGGCAAGTACAGGCACAAATGTTCAGTGAAACCATGCAGGTGAATATCCACAGGTGATGGCCACAGGGTGGAGTCCTTTCTCCTCTACTGTGGAACCTAGTGGCAGATGAACTGCTGAAAACATTGAACAATCAAGGGATGTACGCCCAAGGATATACCGATGACATAGTCATCCTTATCCGAGGGAAAAACTAAACTACAGTCTTTGAACTCATGCAAAGAGCTCTTAGGCTGACAGAAATGTGGAGCTTTTGGGAAAACCTCTTGGTAAACCCTGACAAGGCATAACTCATAACCTTTACTCGGTAAACAAGGTTGGAGGTTTTAGAAACTCCGGCTTTGTTTGGAGGAAGGCTAAACAGAACGAACCAAGTAAAATATCTGGGTCTAATCCTAGATACCAAACTTACTTGGAACCAACACTTACAAAAAGTGACCAACAAATGTAAAATGTCTCTCATTGTAGAGAGACGGGCATTTGGAAAAACATGAAGATTAAAACCAAAAATGGTCCACTTTTTAACTCCTTATCATACAGGGTGTTAAAAATGTAAGCATTAAAATGTACAACCTAATCCGCCCCTGGTAAACTAAACAAGCTAATTATGTTTTAAGGGCAGTATTTTAAGAGGTTTTTACTACTGTTTATCATATTAAATTTTCATTAAATTATATTACGTAGTTTGAAAGTTATTCAAGCAAAATTGATTTCCAGTGGCGTCCTCTTGGAGGCCGTATGCTGCGCAGGGAGGGCCGCTAGGAAAAAAATTTATGGGAACTTGTCATCTTATTTTTTAATGTTCTATGTGAATCCGAGAGACCTTTCACATTTTCCCACATGTTCCAATAATTTATAATAGTCTAAAATATAGATTGAAAACAAAAGAGGACCAAGGAAAGAGCATTGGGGTACTCCTGGTGTTAAACACGTGAAATTAGACGATTTCTCTAGCGTTGCTTTTTGATATAGGTTAGTTAAATAAAATTTGAAAGAAATTAGTGAGATTTCATCGAAACCAAAATATTTGAATTTGACACAAAGAAGCTAATGGTCTATAGACTCTAGGGTCAAACGCTTTAGAAAAGTCAAGCAGAGTAGGCTACTAAGTTTTGTAAATTATGCTTTGTATTTGAAGCGCAAAATAATATTGAATGACATTTACTGTCATATAGTTTAAGGTTATAATTTATAAAAAATATATAAACAGCATTTAGAAATAATATAGTTCCCTGTTGTCAGTAAAAGAATATATATATTTACCTTCTCCAATCATTTATAATGGTCTGAAATAGATTGAAAACAAAAGAGGACCAAGGACAGAGCCTTGGGGTACTTCCGATTTTATACACGTGAACTTAGACGATTTCGTTAGCGTTACTCGTTTGTAGCGGTTACTTAAATAAAACTTGAAAAATCTTAATAACATTTCAACGACACCAAAATATTTGAGTTTGGCACACAGACTATAGTGTCAAACGCTTTAGAAAAATCAAGCTACCAAGTATTTATTAGTTATTAGTACTACCTCGTTTGTAATTTACTAGTCAAGAATACTTCAAGTTACTTCAAACAAAGCTATATACCGATAAATTAGACATAATCCTGTTTTCACACCAAATCTTAATTTATTTTGTACAAAAAACTATGTAGAATTTTCTATAAGAGTTATCTTTTATAGCTTTTTACGCGCCATCAATTATTACATTCTGTTATTGCAGCAACGCCACTGTGTATGTCTTCAACAAACAACAAACAACCTCGTTGAAATCATAAATAATCCTTCTTCCTTAACAGCCTCTAAGCAGCTCGTTCTACTTACATTGTACCCATTCAAAGGGCAAAAACTCGCCTTTCGAAGATCTAACCACAAAAAAACCAAGTAGGCGCCACACTCAATCTGTCAATGGTCAAAAACACTGTCAAAAACCGACAAAGTTTCGTCACTACGGATGAGCACTATATGCGCGTACGATCGCTTCGCTAGTTTGAGACTGAAATGCGGTTCTTCATTCTTCGCTTTGGTACTGGTGCTGGTGCTAATGGTACTTTGGTCTGTTAACTTTGCTTCGGGTGCTGAAGAAGCGGGAAACGGGGAAATTGCACTCGACAGACAAGATTATTTTAATCTAATTGGTGCTACCCATTGAAAAATAATATGAATTTATAGACCAAATACTGTAAAAGGTCTTTACAAAAACATACCACATATTCCTTAGACCAAAATAAGTCGATTTAAGTAAAATTACCTTAGTACAAAGTTGCTTTGTTTGGGCTCCAGAGGGCCTTGAAGTTACAATTTTTAAATCGTTTTTCCCATATAAATTTAAAACGGCATATGCGATTTTGATGAAATTTGGTATATTGGTAAAGTTTTATGTGGCAAAAAAATAATATTAAAATTTTGTCCGATAATAATACATAGGCGTAGAACTTGATTTTTAAATAATTGCACCTTTAAAAATTCTACGCCAATGGAAGAAAAGGGGTTTGAGTATGAAATTTAGATTGCGCAACTCGTTTACTTTAAAAAAGGTACTCTTAATAAGACTCGATTACTCTTATGGTTTTGACGAAATTTGCATTTTAGTAATTTTAGAACATAAACAATAATTATTAAAATACAAACTTAAAAAACAACACGCTTATAAATCTTACTTAAACTTAAGCTCAGTTTTAGGAGATAAATGTCAATTTCCGATGCTATAAGTGTAGTCTAATGTTTGTAGAAATAAGCCGTAAGTGCCAAATGATGTTTGGACTGTAACTATGCTATACAAAATTTATCATATGTCACCTCAAACCAAGTTTAACTTTAAGTAAGCTTTATACAACCCGCCCTTAAGATATCTTTAACTTTAAGGAATCCTTAAGAAAGTCACTGCTATCAATATAATTCCTATTTTTACATGTACTTTGTACTTATAATTAATTCCATTTTTGAAAAAGTAGGTACTTTGTAATTGTAATTATTTTTAAAGTACATGTAATTACCCAGCTGTGCATTTAGGTATAAGCAAACTAACGTCATAGTAACGTTACAAATTGACGTCATCATGTCACAAACGTGAGAGTAACGTTAGAAAATTACGTCACTGGGCCGTGACATAATGATGTGAGCTGAACGTCATTTTGACGTTACATTTTTGGTGTAAAATGACGTAACAAATAACCAATAAATGACGTCGCTGTAAAGTAAGTGTGCTACCTGGGAAATTGTTCAATTTTTGGGTAGCTACTATTCATGATTATGAAGTAACAACCAAATCTGGTTCAAAATAGCTATTTAAGAAATCAGAAATATTCACTCGTTACATAAAATGAGGCATTTCGTAACGTGTCACAATATTTTTTTTTTTTTTAATTTTTTACTAGATTGTTTATAAAATTGTTTTGAAAAAAATTACTGACATCTAGGCAACCAATATTACTACTTGTATTGTTAGTTGCGTATAATATTTCCTTCTGTATTTATCAAGAGCATAAATCAGTCGTTATTTTTTTAATTAGTTATTTGTTCCTCTTATTACAATAAAATATAAAATTATATTTTTTCAAGGTGTTAATTTTTAATTTTAAGATACACACTGCGTTAATAATTTTTTTGTATTAGATAATACCTGCGAGTATGCAGATTTTTGGAATTCTAAACTACTCTAGAAAATAACAGTTTAATAATATTGAAATTAGAATAACTTAGAATATACAGTTCGAAAATAATTGAACGCACAATGTAATTACTAAATTATTCTAAATAAATTAAAATAATTTAAAAATGATTTCTTATTTTACATTTAAATTGTTCTAGTTGTAACTAAAAGCTAAATAAAAATCGAAAAATATGACTAAATTACTTTAAAATTCATAAAGTCTTACTTTACCGATACTATAATTTAGCATAATACGCTTGGCGAGCTACTGGTAAAACTATTTACAATTCCAAAATCCGTAAGAACAACACTGACCACATGGCGTTCTTCTAAGAGGTTGTTAATATTCCAGTTATCGAGAAAATTATTGTAATAACAGTTTAGGTTTAAAATTTTTTGAATGTATAGTGCAGTCGACCCGTTCGCATGAAATGAATTCGTTCAGAGAATTTAACTCACCTGTTGTTGTTGTCTGTTACGGAGACAGGTGCAAAAATTGGAACCCCTGGTTTTACGTTTTACTCGGTTAATTTGAAACAGGGAAAGACTCAAAGACCGACGCACGGGCCACTGTTAGTTCGCCGCTCGACACGTGTCAAATCTCGGATCAAACGAAATTAGTAACACAGTAATTCGTTTGAAGATAGAAAAATGATTGCCAGATACGTTTCTGCTGTATATTGGATGCAATTTATCACTCTTTTTATCAACAGATATAAATTAAATTTTGTCTTTTTCAAAATGTTGTATAATCTCAGTCATCACCTACTCTTAGTATGTAGATACTCTAGAATATATTGGAATTAGAAGCAATTATTTAAGAGTCATACGGTAAGAGTGGATGAAATACTGACCGATGAAAAAATGATTGACTGTTGAATACCTCAAGGATTCGTGTTAGGACCTACATTATTTAACATATACATAAATGGTTTATTCTCATACAGCAACAATGGAAACATTATCTGCTTTGCAAATGATACTGCTACCTTCTACAAAGCCGATAATTGGCAAGAATTGAAAACAGAAGCTGAAACGGTTTTCTGTTTAATAAAACATTGATTGCAGAAAAAACTAGTAACACTAAATTAAAACATATTTCTTAAAAATCTAAAATAGAATGACTTTTGAGTCAATTTCAGTACTTTAAACCAATTTCTTCATAGTAAAAGAAAAAAAATTTTATATTGATAAAGTGTTTAAAAACGAAGAGTGTTATTAAAATTGTAATGTTATTAATTTAGAGATATTTTATAGTAAACCAAGGATATAATTTTCTACGTAAACAAAAAATTGTATCAACTTTATCATTTATATACAGAACAAGACAAAACACCACACTTACAAAAATTCCTCTCCCTATCAATTCCGGCGATATATACTTCCTTCTATAGCCCAATCCGACTCTCTTCTTGGGCCTCTTCTCCAGAAATCTCTCGTGAGCGCCGAGACAGCTGTAGTCCTCCAGATGCGTCATGGTTTCCTTTTTCAGCTTCAAAGCCGCAAACATGTGCACTGGTCTGAACACCGTCACTCCTTCGTCTTCTACCAGAAGATACGGGACCCTTCCGGAAAGTACGTCCCTGGTGGCTTCGGCGGGCACCACGATTTTATAACTATGAGGGGAACATTTTAGTAAGTAACGTGGAAGAATCTACGAGGTGATTGTATAGAATTTCCCTTTATTTTCTTTTCAACTATACTCGGACAAAATATTGGAGAAGGTGAGTCATATGCATGATCAACACTGTTGTCTATGAATGAAAATTCCGACAGAGTCAGCATAGGCGGCGTATCAAATACCAAATAATTATTTATTAGGTATTTGTTAGTAAACTTTATTAAATTTGTTTTTTCAACATCTTTATTTAAAAAAGATGAAGCGTTAAATATACAGGAAATGAATATATTTATTCCCTAATGACTTCGTTATCTGTGTTTAATGGTTTTAAAATGTGTTTCAAGTAAATAAACGACAGACGGGTTACAGATTGAATATTGTCAGCACAGGCACAAAGACAGTTGAAAACTAACTTTCGACGAAGTTAGATTTGTATCGCTTTAACTATTTACGATAATTATTTTATATTTTATAAACACTTTTTTGTATAAGTGCTCTTTTCTGAAATACGAATAGATGTTCATGTTTGTGCCTTACAATTTGGTAGTGGTAATGCATATTCGAGGTGTTATATTTATTGTGTAGTATATTAGGTAGGTACTTTAAAAGTTTATTAAATAGTAAAATATTGGTGTCTCTATAAATTTAATAAAAACAATTTAATAGTAGAATTATATTGTTACAATAGTAATGGATTCAGAGGCGGGTCCAAGTGAAACCCAATTACGTCGGCGAAAGCCCTTATCAAAGGATGAAAAGAACATTATATGGAAAGTGTATGATGGGCTGAAACACACACTTTCTAAAAATGAAGCTGTAAACCGTAGTTCTTTTTTAACTGGAGTATCTGTTTCAACAATTGAACGTATTGTACGCGAAAAGACAAAAAAGGCTCCTTAGAAGCCCCTAAAACGCATACCCGTGGTCGAAAATTGTTGATGGACGATAACCAAAAACAAATCATTCGAAGAACTGAAAATTTTTTCGAAAACAAAGACCCAACACTTAAAGTTGTTCTTACGAAATTAAGAGAAAACGAAGAAATTCCATTAATGAGCCGTGAAACTTTGATGGGGCCTAAAATTTCGTTTTGTTAAACGGTGTAGGAAATCAATTTTAATTGAAAGGTCAGATATAGTGTCCTGGCGACGGCGTTATTTACGAAATATTAAAGAGTTTAGAGCCGCTAAAAAAAGATATACTATCTCGATGAAACGTGGGTGAATGCTGGACACACGGTATCTAAGATATGGTAAGATACTTCTGTAACTAGTCATCGCCAAGCTTTTATAGAGGGATTATCTATAGGTTTGAAAGCACCACCAGGTAAAGGACAGCGCCTAATTGTTACCCATATAGGAAGTGACAGTGGATTTTTGGACAATAGCGCTCTTGTGTTTATATCGAAAAAAACAGGAGACTACCACGAGGACATGAATGCGGAATGCTTTAAAAAATGGTTTACTGAAGTATTACAGCGTGTAGAACGAAATTCAGTTATTGTACTAGATAACGCTTCTTATCACAGTCGACGAGTTGAACGCATTCCGATAATGTCCAGTAGAAAAGCGGATATGCAAACCTGGCTGCTGGATAAAGCAATAAAATTTACTGAGGAGATGCTTAAAGTGGAATTAATGGACCTAATAAAGGAACACCGCCATAAATATATTCAATATGTTGCCGACACAATGGCTTGTGAACGTGGTGTTACGGTACTAAGACTTCCCCCTTGTCATTGCGAATTCAATCCTATTGAACTAATTTGGGCGCAAGTGAAAGGGTTTGTAGCTCGAGAAAATAAAACTTTTAAAATAGCCGACGTTCAAAGTTTATTAAAAACCGGTATAGAACGTATAAAACCTGAAGATTGGCAGAATGCTATTTCCCATGTAATTAAGGAAGAAAATAATATGTGGCGCTTGGACGGTATGATTGAAACAGTAGTTGAACCTATAGTCATAACTTTAAGTTCCGACGATAAAGACAATTCCAGTGATAGTTCTGCAGAATCAATGGATTACGAAACTTCATAGATTTAGAATTCAAGTAAGTAATACTAAGCTTAATTTACATATTTTTATAATAAACAAAATACAATTATAAACATAGATGAATTATTATAACAAAAATAGATAACTAACCTACTTTCATCTAGTAATATTCACAAATACCCATTTAATTTGCCAATATAGTATTTCTGCGACACTGGAAGAGTGCATTTTGATATGATAACGATACCTTTTGCAGTTTTAAGGCGCACCTTCTTCAATATTTTGTTCTAGTATAATACCCCATTTAATTTTCCAATAGTGTTTCTACGCCACTGGCATAATATTTACATATTTTAACAATAAACAAAACAAAATTATAAACATAAATGATTATTACTACAAAAATAGATAACCAACCTACTTTCATATAATATTATTTACTATTACCGCATTTAATTTGTCAATAGTTTTTATACGCCACTGTCGTAATTCATTTTGGCAATAAACATGCATTTATGACTAGTTGGCACGTGATTCCGATAACTTCTGCAGTTTTAAGCGCGTGATTCCATTCATTATGCTCTGGTATAGTATGATTGTTGTACATGAACAGGAAGGAATCACCTTCTTCAATATTTTGTCCAAGTAGTTATTTTGGATTATTTCAAATTTAATTTTTTCAATTTTCTTTTAATAATATACCCAGCACGGGTAACCCACCCACCAATCGTCAAGGATACTAACATTAAAGGATTAATCCTTGGCAGGATGTAAAATATCAAACAAGATTTAAGTGGTCATGTAAAATAAATCATTTGGATTGAAAATGGCTACGGTCCAAATTTTGATTGATTTATTTACAACTAATAATTGCATAGGTAGTACAATCTAAATACTTTAACTGCACTTGTTTTAATGCTTAGATTTTACTGCTGTTTAATTGACTGTTGAAATTCGTTTCAAATAAAATAACAAGCGATAACATGTTTATGTGTCATATAATGTCGCCATCTTAAAATGTTGATGCAATAAAACCGATAATAGTAGAGATTATATATAGTAACAAAAAATATTGGATTTAAATGCATTTAGACTTATTTTGGTACTCTTATGAACCCGAGGCGAGTTTTTATAACTGCAGCTTTGAAAAAGCCACCGTTAAGCCATTTCTGCGCCCCTTTAGGATATGTGACTTATACCTGGGCACCGTTGGCACCGCTCCAGTTACGGCACTGTCACTGTCAAAATGCATTTTATGCGACTCGCGAAGATTATAATAAATGTCAACTTGACATTTAATCTTTAACTAGTCGATTACTTAAATTCAGAGACAGGGCAGATTCCACCGTTGTTTAAATTGCTAAACGAAGTTTAAAATGACATTTTTACATTGGCATTGTAATTTTAATCTTCGTTTAGTAATTTAACACGTTAACTGCCGCGCTAGAGTAAAAAAAAACGTATCTAAGGAGTCACCAATATATTTGTTTATATTCAGATTATATTAAAGCGTATATGAGAACACGTTCTGTGTCAAAAATATACAAAATAGTCTTATAGGGGCCTCAGAAGCAAAATTACAGCTTTGGGCCCACGTGAAACATATTTAATTTATTCATAATTTTGGCAAAATTGACCTCCCACTCTAAAGCCATGTGATTTCCTCATGTTGAGCATGATGTACGATGATAGTATGGTTGATGTGGAAACCAAAAATGGTAAAGTTGTCAAAAAAACTCAAACAATCCTAGACTATAACAACAGCAATGGTATTGAAAGTTAATTACAGGTACAGGTACATTATTTATAAAAGATAACAGGAAAAAATGTAAGTATAACAAAATTCAAAGACGAGGTAACAATAGGTCTTTTAGGTGAAGAAACAAGAGAAGATGATACAGCTACAACCAGAGAATATGGTTTGAAAAATATAGGATCACAGAGGAGAAGATGTGTTATATGTTATAAAAAGCTGAAAGCTGAATTTGGCAGAAACTAGGCTTCTCCAAAAGCCTAACAAGCTCCATACAAGTGCGAAAAATGCGACGCATTTAATTCCTAGGCATAAATCTACTAGATTGTTAAAACTTTTGCTTTTAATTTTTTGCTATAATTACCGTTATTACTGTGTTATTATTTGCACCCATTTATTTTAAGCACGGAAACTAATAAATAATCATTTAGGGTGAGATAACAGAAGGTCTGCAACTTTGCAGATCTGCAAATATGGCGGCAACTTTGTAGATTTGCAAATATGGCGGACTTACAAATGCAAGTATCAAGTTTTCGTATTCCAAAAAATATCTGCAAATTCGCAATATTTATTGTGGTTTATTACCCCTATATAACAACAGTAAATCCAAATCCACCCTTAAAAAGGTTAGACCATCCTACAACCATGGAGTCTTCGGTTTCTTTTGATTGAATACAGTGCGTGGTGTCAGATTATCGAGTTTTTAAACATAGTAATGTATTTGGGTTTAGTGTTGTTGGGGGTAATAAATCACAATAAATATTGCGAATTTGTAGATCTTTTTGGAATACGAAAACTTGATACTAGCATATGTAAGTCCGCCATATTTGCAGATCTGCAAATTGCCGCCATATTTGCAGATCTGCAAAGTTGCTGACGTTCTGTAATCTCACTCTTAAACAATATATACTTGTTCAATTAATTGGTTTTTAAATTATTTTTCTCATAAACCTAAAAAGTAGGTATGGCCATATTTCTAAACAACAAAAAATTTGTAGGCCATCCACAGATTTTTGCTCCCAAGACCACACTTTTAAAGATGGCCGCGGTCGCGTGTATATCCTACTATGCACGTGGCCTACAATGCAAAAATGTTTTAAAATTATATATTATTCACACGGCTCCCTTGGGCTCAAGGCCGTGTGAATCCTATTTAATGCACATGGCGGTTAACGTGTTAAACTTCGTTAAACACAACGGTGGAATAGGCCCTTGATAAAGTGACCATTCGTCTCGATTTAAGCGGGACCATCACGAATTTAAAGCAGTAGTCCCGCTTTAATATATGTCCCGATTTTGTCCCGTTTTTGCCTGACGAAAAATAGTACTTTGTGCAACAAGAGTGGATATGATGGCCATATGACGTGGAAAATCCACTCGAGTTGTACAGTATATTTTTTCTACGACCCACTAACGAAAATTTACAAATAAAAAAAATAATTTAGGTTATTAAGACAAAATAACTAATTTTAAAATAATTTATGACTTTTAATAATTTTTAAAATAAAATGAACAAAAAAAAAAGAAAAAGTTCATATCATTTTTCCTCATCCGAGAATCGAACTCGAGTCTTCAGTTTGGAAGACAAGAACGCTGACCACAGGACCATAATCTTTTATTTTTGTTGCTTTAATACTCGTAATTAAATTGACTTCATATAGTTTTATTTAAATTAACAAATTATTTATAATTATAGACGAAATGAAAACATAAATGCTATTATTTATCGATTCTATACAAAAATAACTCATTTTAATCTATTTTTAATCTTGGTGGATTTCATTTTTTTGCAGTGTTCTCACTATCTAGAATGGATATGAAATATATTCGTTCAGTTGAAGGCAATAGCATACTTTTTCGTTTTGTAATATACGCGTAGATAAGCTAATATCCATGTGGGTGTAGAAAAAATATATATCATATATTTAATTTAAGCCGCCTAACTACATTTTTTACAACAACGCACTCCATTAAAGATTTCCTTTCTTTTTGCTCTTTAATGAATAAAATTCGTCGAAAAAATCTCAATATTTTCGATTTGTCTAGCTTTCTACTTTTCAAAATATGGCCACTTTCACTGTGTTATAAAATGATGACTTTTCTAAATTATGAAACAAAAGCTAAATCAGATCACAATTTTTTAGAATTTGTATTTAAAAGTTTCGCGTTTTTTCATGTGACATTTCTATTTATTAAAAACGTTAATACAAATGCCGACGACAGCATGATGTACTTACATCATGTCAGTTGTCAATGGTCAGTTGTCAGATGTCAGTTGTCAGTTGTCAGTTGTCAGTTGTCAGTTGTCAGTTGTCAGTTGTCAGTTGTCAGTTGTCAGTTGTCAGTTGTCAGTTGTCAGTTGTCAGTTGTCAGTTGTCAGTTGTCAGTTGTCAGTTGTCAGTTGTCAGTTGTCAGTTGTCAGTTGTCAGTTGTCAGTTGTCAGTTGTCAGTTGTCAGTTGTCAGTTGACAGTTGTCAGTTGTCAGTTGTCAGTTGTCAGTTGTCAGTTGTCAGTTGTCAGTTGTCAGTTGTCAGTTGTCAGTTGTCAGTTGTCAGTTGTCAGTTGTCAGTTGTCGGTTGTCAGTTGTCAGTTGTCAGTTGCCAGTTGCCAGTTGTCAGTTATCATAATTTAACTGTAAAACGTATTCATTTATGGTATAGTCCGTTATTAATCGAAATATCGGTTACTCGTTCCAAAACTAACCCCTCTGCTTGACATTCTTGCGATAAGTAGTCGGTTAATATCGGACTATACCCTAAAATAGACTGATATTAAGACTACAAAGATATACCAGAATTAGGGTAAAATATAAATATTTCACCTTGCAATCAACATTGGCAGACTTCTGAATTCCTCAGCGTCCTCTTCGCGACTCGTGGTCGGTTGTGGAGAAGGTGCCCTAGCCGTAGTGGGTTCTGGGGGTGGAGATGGCGCGGGTCTTCCCATCGGGATCAGAGCTTCGTGCATTGTCTTTTTTTCCTCCTTATGCTGATGGGGGGTGTACAGCATGGAGCGGGGATGGGAGGGGGGGTAGACACGACGGTCCGCCGTTTTGAATGATTTTCTTTCGTCGAGTATTCAGAAAAAATAGGCTAGATTGTTTAAATAAAAAAATAGATAAATAACTAGATGATGCATCTATACAGGGTGTATCAATAAAAACTTCTAGACCGGATATTTTGAAAAGGAATAGAGATATTTTAAGTGGAAGAGAGCTCTGTAAACGCAGTGTTGTTTTAAATAAAGTATAAAAATATGGGTTAGTACGATTTAAATTGTTTGGAAAAAGCAATGTTAAGATTGAGGTGTCTATTAATTACGTGAGGTGTTCAAAGAGGGGAGGGGATCAAGCTAAATCTTTTCAAATCTTACTTAGGGGAGAGGAGGGTCTTTGTAAATCTGACGTAATTTTTTTCTAGTAGAAAACGGTGTAAAATTGCATGAAAGTAAAGAATGTTTTTAGAAATTTTATATTACGGCAATATTCTCAAATACTAATCTTTGCTAGTCTTAAATAAAATTAATAGAACATGTTTTCTTTTTTTTTAATAATCCAACGCATTTACACCCAAAACACAAATTTGGAACAATCTCACGTGAGATTAGAGGAGGAGGGAGGAAGTTGAGGAAAATCTTACACCAAGGCGAAAGGGGGGTGGGGGGTCATAAAATCCGCAAAATTACCTCTCGTAATTAATGAACGCCCCCTTAAATGTATTGAAAATGGCTAGATTTATCGAATTAGTTAATAAAACAAAATCTGCTTGAAATGCATTTTCTATAAGATGTACTACATTTGTTAGATCCTCCCATAGAAACTGGAAACAACTTGTGAAAATTGGATGATTTATTTAGAATAATTTTATTTGTTTAAACAAGGAGCCTCAGACATAACGCCAAGGATGATTTTTGTTAATTTAATCCCTGTGGGGGTTTTCATACCAACAAAATTTTGGAATAACATTCCTTATTAGGTCATGCAGAGGTAATTTAAAAAAAATCGTTAGGCGTATATGTATACGTAGAATGTAAACGGGGGGAGTTTACGAGGGGAGGGAAACAATTTCTATTTATAGAAAGAAAAATAACTTACATCGAAAATAAACTCTTGAAAGTTGTCGACGACTTGCGGTCACTTTAGAGAATGACAATTATGGACAAGAATAGTCGGGATATCTAGTTCGAGGTTCTATTTACGTACCAAGTTAATTTTAATCCAGAGTGCTCTGTCGACTATCTGGGACTTAATTATTTGTTTTCGACGTCGTCGAGCCGTGGAAAAAATGTTCTAGAAGGTTTATATTATAGACGAACGCTTCCTGGAGATCGAGTCGTAAAAATAGGCCCGTCAATCTTTTAATGAGTTCGTTGAATTTTTTTGTTGAAATCATCGTGTTTGATTTTTTTTCTGTTCCTCTTCCTTGTTTTAAATCGGGATTATATTTGTTTGGTCGTTGCACTTTACTCGGGTTTTATAAAATTCTTTTTGCCGATCTTGG